GTCTCGCTTACGGTTCCAATGACTCATATCAAGCGATGACTAAAGCTCAACGAAACATAAGAGTCCATTGCATCATAATCGCGTTCTTTACGCAATTTATTTCATGATTAAAACGGAAAGGACACATTTGCACTAAATTGGCGGTATAAAACTTATACTTCGGCCTTGGTAAGTTTGTTATTGATTTTTATTCCCGATCCTGCGGACAGAATGGAAAGCAGTCGACGTCGCCCAAAACACGTCATCTCGGATCCTCCCGATCCACTAACGTTGCTTTTAGGTACTTCAAGCACCGGTCACCGTTCTCGTCGAACCCGTCGCTTGCGACGAAGGGCTCGACGAGTAAATTAACTCTCAGACACAGCCTACTGAGTTTCTCGCCGGATCTTCTCAGTGGGTCGCGTTTCCGATCCGGTGGTAGATTCTGCGAAGCACGGCTCTTGCTAGGGTTCGTGTTAGCAACGTCATCAGGTTTGAGCNTTTTATGTGCATAAAATCCATTAAAATCGTTTGATTAATGATAATACTTAAAATGATTTATTTATATGTTTTATTTATATACTCAAAATATTTACTTCATACGTAAAAGGTTTTGAAGCTGGCAATATTTTTCCCGCAAAAATAAAAATCCTTGTTTTTTCAATAGAGTTACTTTTTTTAAACTACTTATTGTAAACTAAAGTGGCGGTTATTTGCAAGAAAGTAAATGCATATTTATTTATGACAAAATTAATACACTAAGTATTTTTTCTATAATCTATTGTCCGCTTTGGGCCTAAAATGGGCCATCCCCTTTGAAATTGCTGTTGGAATTCCAGTTATTTTCTCGCAAAGAGCTGTCACATAAAAAAGACGCGACGAATACTTAGCGATGGTCAAAACGAAACACGGTAAAAAGTTTTATAAAAATTACTAACAAATTCTAGTTGTTTCTCCATCTATTGGCTGGTAGACTAAGGTGCTATTCCAGATACGCCCGGACGGGACAAATGCTAGTTTATATATCTGTTAAAAAATTTCCGTTGTCTTTTTCGAATAGGTTGGATACTATTTCAGATTCTAAAACGATTGAAAAGTACTATTTATATTTGACATATTTCGGGTTTATTTATGAATTTATCTGGTATAGAACAGTAGAGGTCTCGCTTATGGTTCCAATGACTCATATCAAGCGATGACTAAAGCCCGACGAAACATAAAAGTCCATTGCATCATAATCGCGTTCTTTACGCAATTTATTTCGCGATTAAAACGGAAAGAACACATTTGCACTAAATTGGCGGCATAAAACTTTACTTTGGCCTTGGTAAGTTTGTTAATGCTTTTTGGGATGAGACACATTTATCATGTACGTACCTATGTCTATGACGGACGTGTTCAATTAAAACCGTTGTTGGTTTGTCACTTTAATGCAACAGTAGATTTCCAAGTAGGAAATGAAAATTTAACCGGATGTTTTTGATAAACGGGATAAATGAAAAAGTTCATATACACAATTATTAAAAAGTCATTTTGTGTTATTGCTTTAAAAGCACAACATTTGGGCCTGCTGTTAACTCTGGAAATTTAATATAGCAAGGGTAAGAAATATTAAAAGATGAAAGAGCTCATGCCAGGTGTAGAGTGGTCAATGTATCGAAGACTCAATAATACTATAACTATACAATGATATATAAACTGTGCTTTATATTCGGACCTCAGTTTTGAAGGTCCGCGGTGGGATTCAATTTTATTTCTTTGTAACCTAGTGGGGTTATGCCAGCGGCGAGTAGGAGAGCTCACGGGGCTCTCACCTGAGGATGTTGGTAGCACTAGCCCTAGCAAGAGCAGCGTTTCGCGCAGAATCTACCACTGGACAGGAAACGTGACCCACTGAGAAGATCCGGCGAGAAACTCAATGTCTGAGGTTGGAATTCAGATTGTGATCGCTTTCAAAATAGTTCTTGTTCTTGGAACAACTTATGTGACATATTCAATGCTAATTATGATTTTAATGTAATTGTAATTATAAGTCCTTATCATTCAGAATTTCGTCATATTTGTTTTGTTTTTTTTGCCTTCGAAGGCGGACAAGAACATCGCCCTTCCCATGAGCGGTCACCATCGGTCAGAAATCAGTAATGACAAAGCCACAGGGAAGCTACTATCTTACCATCAAGTACTCAATTGAAAGGTCACTTGAAGAAGGACATGTGGCAGAATTGATTTCTTAAAACGCACGCGGTTCCGGGTAGTATTCATGAGATCTGCTGTAGTGGCGGGCAGTGCAATGGTAAAAAGCGGATGATCAAACAATTCCTTAGTACAGTCCCCATGGAATATACATTACAGACCACAGAAGGAACTGAAATTTCCCGACAGACGTAGATCCAAGCAATCTTTGAGATCACGACTATTCAAGTTTGAGAAGATAACTGACGAATTTTCTGTGTCTCACGAATCGATCTGTACCATTCTAAATGAGTCGACTATTATCAAAGCCGGCAATGTGACTTTTGGACAATTATTGGTAAATCAGAAAAACGAATTATTGACTTTGTATTCCATTGGCAGTCACTTTTTTTTTTTTTTTTTTTTTTCCTACCTAAGGGGCCATCCATAAAGTACGTCACACGTTAATGGGGAGGGGGGGGTATCACCGAAGTGTGACATCGTGTGACAAGGGGCATGGGGGGGTCAATACTTTTGTGACGTCACATGATAAAATTTAAAATACTAAAACGAAAAGTTTGTATGTGAATTAAAAATTTTAAAAATTTACAAACTTGATCTATATTTATTAATAATTTAGCATTCTCGCTATGCGATAATCTCTCATGCAACGTCATTTAACTTCTAGAGCGGCGTTGTAATGCAAGTGAGACACTCAAATTAGGATGTTCCTGACGTTCAAATTCAGAACGAAAATGAAGTGCCTGATTTACCAGTAATAGCTGATATAAAAGAGTGGATCCAAAGTCCATGGACACTCGATAATTAAGTTTTTTATCTTTAATTAATATAATTAATCGTTTATTATTTTCTAACTAGTCGTTTGTTTTTTCGGTTTTATGAAATGTTGGACTTTATGTTGATTTTATTAGATTATTATTTAATAAAAATAAGTAAAAAATGAAAATAGCTGTTTTCTCTCGATTATTTTTAAATACATACATAAATTTAAAAAATGTGTGACGTCACATCAGGAGGGGGGGGTTATAAAAATGTGACAACCTGTGACAAGGAGGGGGGAGGGGGTTCAAAAGTCCTAAAATTCGTGTGACGTACTTTATGGATGGCCCCTAAGCTGATAGCCTTGAGAGGCTATGTCAGCGTAACCCTAACTTTAGTAGGTGAGCTCACGGGGCTCAACCTGACGATGTGGCTAACACGAACCCTAGCAAGAGCCGTGCTTCGCAGAATCTACCACCGGATCGGAAACGCGACCCACTGAGAAGATCCGGCGAGAAACTCAGTGGGCTGTGTCTGAGAGTTAATTTACTCGTCGAGCCCTTCGTCGCAAGCGACGGGTTCGACGAGAACGGTGACCGGTGCTTGAAGTACCTAAAAGCACCGTTAGTGGATCGGGAGGTTGGCAGTCACAAAACTCTTCTGAACGACATCTTAGATAAATAACAGGTTAAGTTAATACTTTATTTAATGCAGGTTTTGAACCGTATTCTTTGAAGGAGACGATTATATTCAAATCAATCTGTATTGACATATCAATAACATTTTTTTGTCCAAATGCACAGATTGGCACCTTTGATAATAGACGACTCAAATAATAACATGTTTTTTTTTTAAAAACTCAATCGAATAAGATTCGCCGAGGACTACTAGAATGAGTCACATATGACGCAATATTCATAAAACGCAGAGTTACCAGTGGTTGCGAGACTTAGGTTTACGAATTTGAGGAGTGGAGCCTTCCCACTGAATCGTAACCGAAAAAAAACATGTAAAAGTCGATCAAAACTGGTCTTACTTGCCGAATGGTATATCAATAGGTAAATAAAGAATATTATTTGAGAGTTATGTTATATAATTTGTGAAAAAATCTTAGATTTTGCACCATGATAATAAGCCTTCTCCGTACTTCCCACAGGCAGGGACGTCTTAAACTAGGATGCCCTTGGGCACACAAGAGTTTGAGGCCCTTTTCGAAAGTAAAAAAAGCGAATTATAATACCATTTTTTTACTGAGTATGACCATTTATTATAGGTAATCAAATACAGTATGATATAATATGTCATTAATGATATTAGAAAGCTGCTGGTTTTTTGGCTACGATTTCGATAACGGTTTCTTTCGGGATTTCTGTTGAGCAAAATCTATTATAGGCATAGTAAATACCTTCTGATTACTGATTTGTGAAAAAAGTGTAATGTGCCCGACAAAAATGTTTTGAGAATAAACGTGTGAGAGAAATTGTCGGTCTTTCGGGGCCCCCTGAGAATGGGGGCCCTGGGCACGGGCCCCGTGTGCCCTTATGGTAAAAACGGTATTGCCCACAGGACCATCATTGTAGAAAAACAATTTTCCAAAAATTCAATGAATACAATCAAACAACCCCCCCTTATTCACCATATATGGATCCAGCAGACTTCTTTCTTTTTCCTAAACTAAGATTACTATTTTATGGCATCTATTTTCATTTGAAAGAAACATAAATGAGAATTTGAGAGCTGAACTTAATACCAGAAAAAGCCTTAACTAATATTTTATGTATTGTTGATCTTTTCCTAGTACCTCCTTGACAGAGCAGTAATATTTGTTAAAGATTATACCATATTAAACCATTTTAATAAACTTACAAACATAGTAATTAAACACTTTAATGATTCTTTGTATCTCATATGTATTAATGTTTTTTTTTTGCCCGAGCAGGCAGACGAGCATACGGCCCACCTGATGGTAAGTGATTACCGTCGCTGACATCAGCAATGCCAGGGACAGAGCCAAGCCGCTGCCTACTGTGGCTTAGTCTGTATTATGAATATTGAAAGACTTTACTCACCAAAGATTAGGATCACCTCCATTCTTCAGGAGTAATTCAGTGCATTCTTTTGATTTTTCTAAAGGCTCAATACCAACAGCAAGATGCAGCACTCCAATCCCTTTGCATGGCAGCACCACATTGATGTTAGTTGTATTTTTAGATATGAAATGCTTCACTGAACTGTAATTGTATCTATGGTTACTAAGAAATAATCATTTAAAAAAAACTAGATAAGTAATAATAACACAAAATGTTGAAAATGAAAATATACATATTTGATAAGTCAATTTCCTAAGGGCCTTTTTCATTGTTACTAAATAATTAAAATGATATATCTGAAGTAGAAAATGGAAATATCATAAATTTGTTTTTAATATAAAGGTTGTTTTAGTTAAATGTCATGTTGAGAAAAAGGGCGAACTTAACCATCTGTTTTAAAATTGCCATAAACCTAAAAAGAAAAAAGAAAACAGATTCATCAGGCTTATTATTCCTTTTTTCTTTTTAGAAATGTTTATTAAATGCTTTTTTTTTATCAATATTGTCTAAGCTCATTTAGGTTGCATAATAATTACAAATAGTTAATATTGTTATCGAACTTTCATATTAGTTTCGCAATTATTACATAAAGATGTAAGAATTTAGATTAGATTATAATCGAATTGTTACAGTAAAATTTTTACGCCTCGCTTTGACATTCGAAATTTGAATTGCAAAAATTTAGTATCGTACCTACATGTCGACAGGTGTAAGAGCAGCTGCATATTTTTTAAAGTCGATCCATAAAAAAAAAAACAAAGTAATCCATACCTGAACTTGCCGTTCTGAATTAAGTCGTATAATTTAAAACACTCTTTGTACGTCGTTCCCATGGCTATGCTTAAGTGAAAATATTAGATTAAACATTAGTCATCGAGATTGGAAACCGCAAGTTCCACTCATTTCCTGCAGGATTTCCTGTCGATACACTTTTGCACATTTATAACACTGGTTTTCTGTCCTGTTATACCTTAAACCGTGCTATCTTAAAAGCAAGATAAATATTTTATCGTTATCACTGTTTTTATTATTGTTATTCTTTTGTTTCAGTATTTTGGATCTTCCGATTTTCAAATTAACGTCAGTAAGACGTTAGACTCACTGTATGCTTTGTTTATGTTTGGCTTGCGTTCCATTCGACGTACCATTTATAGTGTGCTCTGTGTCAAACCTAAATGCTTTGACATAGGACGAAATTCGAATTGGAATAAAAAAAGATTTTTATTATGTTTTGTTTCTTGATTTGGAGAAATAGAACCATTGTTAATTTTTATTTTACGTCATATGAAAAGATACATTTTTGACTGCAAGTGTTGGAGCTAAAAATGATGGATAGATGGCGCTACGCAAAAAAAATCTGATGTTTCAATTTGCTGCTGCCAGCCGTTGTTTGATATTATATACTTTGAAAAGCAAACCAAAGAGGTCGCTATTGAATATATTTTATTTAATAAAACATTTTTACTCGCCATATTTTAATTAATATGACGTAGTAGTATCAATTTTATTGGCTTCATGAATTGCTAGTGCTAATTTATTATCTGTTGATGAAATTATTTATTGAAAGAGCTTATTGTTTGCGTTTGTAATTGTGATCGTATCATTCTTATGAAATACTGAAAATTTAAATAAAAAAATTAAATATTTTAACTTAATTATTACAATTCACTTCTGGTTGGTGGATAATCTTACATAATATCATAAGATGCAAATACATACTTCTCCATAAACACAATGGCATGTGGTACATATGTTATTATGTTAAACTGTTTGCATTGCAAATAGTTTAGGTTCATCGCCCCGTTTACCATGCATGCTAGCTTCCTATGCAAATAAAAACAAGTTTGAATCTATTACAACGGTTTTGATACAGTTAACTTAAAAGAATTCTTGCTATTCCATCAAAATAAATTTTGATATGAGTGGTAATTAATTATAAATTATGACATCTGTTAAACAGAACTTTTTATCTTTCTAACATGAGTCGCAGAAGAAAAAGAAATATCATTCAAATTTCTTGATGCCTCTCGTTAAATATATAGTTAAAAGTGTGTACCTACAGTGTTTTTTTTGGCGAAAATTACTTTTGTTGCACATTTTCAACAATTCAGACGGAGTGAGTTAGGAGGTTTCGCAGTGCAGTCATGTTTCCTAGCATTGTCGATGTCCGCTAGCGATTGCAATCATCAACGATTTTGTACCATATATACATACATATATCAGGGCCTTGAAACTGCGATACTTTAAGACAAATATTTTGTTTGTATTGAAACTAGCGACATCTTGTAGCGCATACCCCTAAACTTATATTTTGTTAAAGTTAAGGCATTTTATTATTGTATAATTTAACACAGAAAAAAAATTATCATACAAGTCTTTGTTTGTTATTGATTAAATTTTATCAATTTGTGGTTCCTGGAAATATACAAAATCCTTCATTAAAAATAAAATATAGGGTAGGTCATATGTTACTGTCATCTACAGGAGCGATGAGCAACTAATCGAATTGAAGCCATCTAGTGGCCGACACCCGTAAGCAGTTTTGTTGAGTGCTTGAGTTGCTTATCTACAACTAATTTATGTGTGTTATCTATGCCATATATTTTCATCTTTATCCCTGCGTCTCGTCGAAGGCGAATATTTATAAAGTTTTAATAACCGCAACCATTACAAGTTAGTGTAATACGACAAAGTTCAACATGCGACAAAGTCCTGTACTCTTTGAAAACTGATACACAAGTCATCATCTTCGGTCTCTAGTAACAGTAATAGCCTAATAGCAGGTACACTTCGAGGCCACACGTTGTGATCGATAGGTTCCGATATCACCTCAATCTTAAAAATATGATGTGCTGTGTGTCCTGGCTACCTTGGATTTTAAATTTAATTTATTAATAGCCCCTCTAAAATGATGGTAACAAAAAAACAGCACAGACGAGACAATATTTGTCAAGCAACAATCATAAGTTCAATGAACTTTCAGTATTGGTTAGTTCATAATTAACATAAGCATAGTAGATCGATAATGCGATGAAAGCCTTTTTATTAAAGCTGCAAATTAAAATAGACCCTGTTAGTTTACGTTTAGAATCAAATTCGAATTTTATAGTAAATTGTTCTCAGGTCTTGCGAACAAAGCTTATCTACACGGACCTCCTTAAAATTTTAATATCGTTTGTATTTTAAACAACACGCACTAGTGGTCAGTCGTGTACAAGTGTTAAAATAAAGATAAATTGAAAATTAAATTCACTGAAAGAGTACGTTCCAAAATCAAGGTAGGTGCCAAAATATTATTTAAGTGGCTTCTTATTTGTTAGAAATACCAATTTTTTAAAAGAACATGTTTTATTATCCTTTACTAATTTAATAATATTGTTGTTTATTAACAGATATTATGTATGTGTTATATTTTGCAGATAAAGTTCAAAGTCATAAATATCGTACATATTTAAATAAATATTTTTTTATTTTGAAATTTTTAGTGCTTAATCGGATTACGATGTTTTAAATGCTGGAAGGTTTAAAGGTTACTTATATTTTTATCAACAAAAAAAAATATGTCTCGAGTTTTATCTGAAATGGTGTATCTAAATAGAAGTTTCCTTTGCAATTTATTATTTATTGATCGCAAGAGGTGTATTAGATTGTTTTAGGACAGAAGTTTTTGCTGAAGAAATTGTACATACCTAGTATTGTATATACCTAGTATGTACAATTTAATTTATAAATAAAATAAGCTATGCTTGTCTCACACCTGATTTCAAATACTAATACAACAGAGTTCACACGTCAGAAGTGTGTGTGAAGTGTAATATTTCCGACATTTTGAATTACTTACAGTTTTCAGTTGTTCTGTTACCACAAGCGCTAAACTAATTGTAATATTAAACTGTAAAAGTAGTTATAATTATGTGTACGAATCGCGATACTCGCGAAGAAAATAATGATAATAAAAATGGATTCCTTCAGTCCGGTTTAACAAAAAACCAATAATGATTCCTTGCCGCGAAATTCTGAAATTAATGTTAAGATAATTTTCGTTAAGTTTTATTTTGTATACTGATGAATTTCATGATGTGACATATTCGTTTCGTGAAAGAGTTCTTTCGTAAATAAAACTAATTTCTTGTATGTATTTTCTCCACGTCACCAAGGGCGCCACTCATCTATATATCGCTTATATTATATATTATCGATAACCCAACGTATGCCATCTTCGATAAATTTTAATATCATGCCATTGATCATAGATTATACACTTAATATATCCATTGATCATCAGAACGTTGCTTAAGTGGAGAAGCCTTGGGAGGGCGGGCACATGGTGATGTTTAGCGTTCTCGCTAAATAATTGCAGAGTAGACGACTTCATACGCGATTGATACATTTTAAATTTGGATTTAATTTAATAGTTTTTTCTTAATTAGTTTTTGTAAGAAAGTATTTATTAAATAATCTTTTAATTTAATTCTATGTCACGATTAATACTAAATAGTATTAAAAATTTCACCATATGCCCCTTATATCTTGTAAACCACGCAACTGATTGTGATGCGGTTTTCGTTAATAGGCAGAGTAATAAACGAGAATGGTTTGTGTATTTAAATTGTACAAAATTTCGGATAAAATGGCCTAAATATGACGTTGTTATGTAAGAAGTGACTGTTTTCGTATGCTGGCCAAATTTATTTTATTTATTTTATTTTATTTATTTATTAGGCTCACAATACACATCACAAGCTAAAAAGATACATAAAAACACAAGTAAAAAGAAACAAAATCTAAAAATTTGATGAGGAAGTGTAGTTCATACGGGCAAAGTTGTAGACGGAAAGTTAGTATTGGTAGAAATGGGAAAAACTAGTGAACAACAGTATGAATAACGATCTAGGTACCCAGCGTTTTTTTTAGCTTAAGTACTAACCAAAATACTACAATAACAAGACATTTATTTCTTTTGCATGCTTAGTAACTTGTATATTACTCAATACAATTAAAATTAATTAAGCATAAGAACATTCTCGATTGCTTAATGACTAATAAATTACTTCGATTTTTCGAATACTTAAACGTATTGTTATATTAGTGTAAGAATTTTTTGATTCATCGTTGGTTCCAGATATTCTTTGATAATTTGAAATTAATTTTAATTCACAGCACGTACGATTATTGTTTCTAAATTCTCAAGAGCTGCTAAGATTAAATATTTATTCTGAATCGAATTTAAAATGATAAGGTAATCGATAACAAATGTCACGTCGTTTTGTTATAGTGTTTTGACCTTAACTTATATACATACGGTTTCTTTTTATTAACTATGAAAAGCAATACAAGTATAAAAACACTGAAAATCCTAACATCTTAAACGAAAGTATAATAGTTTGGTAGAAGAGTTAGATAATTAATTAGTGATGGGTCTGTTTAGGTCTATGATATTTTGCTTGAATTTGTGGTTACAATAAAGATGTTTGATATAAAAAATAAAATTACATTACATACAAATATTTATTTATTACACTGGCCCTAGCAAGAGCAGTGCTTCGCAGAATCTACCACCGGATCGGAAACGCGACCTATTGAGAAGATCCGGCGAGAAACTCAGTGGGCTGTGTCTATGGGTTAATTCGCTCGTCGAGCCCTTTGTCGCAAGCGTTGGCTTCGACGAGGACGGTGACCGGTGCTTGTGGTGCCTAAAAGCACCGTTAATGGATCAGGAGGATCCGTAATGACGTGCTTTGGGCGACGTCGACTGTTTACCATTCGGTCTACAGGATCGGGTATATAGTTTCCAGCGGCCACGATAAGAGGATTCTCATGTCGTGCCGCCTTCTCGAAATGGCGTAATGATGCCGACTGTAGATACTTACTGACAGAGTCGAGCTCCAGGTCATCGTGGAGATCCACGTTCCTCAGGAACCATGGTGCTCCGACGGCTATCCTGCAGAATCGAGATTGAAGAACCTGAAGGGGCTTCGAGTTGGTGCGGCCCGCGTGAGTGAACACTACGCTTGCATACGTCATGACGGGGCGTATACAAGTTTTGTAGAGAGTTGTTACCTTATTGCGGAGGGACAGTTTGCTTCGACTACAAAGCATTGGATAGAGTTGTCCTAGTATAAACGCGGCGCGGTCGCGTACCGTTTTTATATGGGGACGGAATGTCATCCCTCCGTCGAGGGTGACGCCTAGATATTTGACCTTCGAGACCCACGGTATGGGCTGGCCAAAGAGAGTGATGGGACTAACGGCGGAGGTGTTTGCGCGCCTACTACGGAGTGGGATGCTCGAAGTGATGTTCGGAGGGCGACCCCTTTTGAAGAGCACCGCTGCGCTTTTCGTGGGGTTGATGTCAATTCGCCACTTCCGGAACCACTGTCCCATGGTGGCTACTGCGATCTGGAGTCGCCGATGAAGCAGCGACATCTTCCTACACGAGTAGTAGATAGCCGTGTCATCGGCGAAAAGCGCTAGATAGCACTCCCATGTTGTACAGTTTGTAAATTTTGAAGGGTGTCACCTTGTTTCGAAGGGAAAATTTGCTTCGCTTACAAAGCATAGGGTAGAGACGTCCTAATATGAAGGCGGCACGGTTGCGTACCCTTTTGAGGTGGAGACGGAATGTCATCCCTCTGTCGAGGGTGACAATTTTACCTTCGAGGCCGACGGTATGGGCTGGCCAAAGAGAGTGATGGGGCTAACGGCGGAGGTGTTTGCGCGCCTACTACGGAGTGGGATGCTCGAAGTGGTATTCGGAAGGCGACCTCTTTTGTAGAGCACCGCTGTGCTTTTCGTGGGGTTGATGTCAATGCGCCACTTCCGGAACCACTGTCCCTTGGTGCTTACTGCGATCTGGAGTCGCCGATGCAAAAGCGAATTCTTCCTACACGAGTAGTAGATAGCCGTGAATCGGCGAAGAGCGCTAGATGGGTCTCCGGAGACCGGGGTATATCATTGATATACAAACTAAATAATATCGGGGATAGCGCGGAGCCTTGCGGGACTCCGGCAGTCAGATGGCGAAGGCGATATCCTCAACGGATTGTGTGGTGCTTACGTAGAATAGCATGACCACGTCCCGTCCGTATGTATACCAATGTAATGTTAAACGAGCGAAGGTACTTTACTTATTTGAGTACACCCAAACAAAAAACAATAGACAATTTGAAATACAGGACATAATAAAATGAAAATACCAAAGCGTTACATACCGTAGAAGCTGTTTAAATTATCGTCGATTTAATTTGACATCCATAGAAATATATAATGTTAGCATTGGTTACATGCTAATTGTGTGTAAAAATATTTAAATTTCACAGCTAAGTACTCGTAGAAGACCGTGTCACGGCATTGTTTAAAAATCTGACCGTATTTGAATATATATTATATTATTAAAGAGACACACTTTACAATTAATATTCATTAATAAAACATCTCACAATTTTTATTTAATTGAAAGAATAATATAGTAATATTATAATATTATACTGCGCATGTATTTTTCTACTATTTTCAAAAATATATTATTATAGATTGAAACACATTACATTCAATCGTACTGAAAGTAACACAGTACGATTGATCAAAACATTAATAAATAAAAACATACATTTTTTTACACATATATGTACTTGCATTTAAAAAATAACCAAAATATACCTATTAGCTATTATTGTATTGTTTATACTTGGTGGCAGAGTCTCGGAAATGAAGCAGTAGAGTAATTACGCGTTGAGATTCTATGTATCGGAAAACTGAATACCAAGTATTTTCTGCCATGAAGCAGTCATGCGTTCCACTTTGAAAGAGGGGAGACATTATGATCATGATAAATTAAGATTAGAACTTTTTAGGCTCCGCAGCCATTTGCAATGAACCACGCCCTCCTCGCAACCTATAAAATATTTTTTTCTCCTACCTACGCCGAAAGTTCGGTTTTCCTCCCGCTGTACAGGCAAGAAAGTCTAACTTTTCCTCCCGCTGTACAGGGAAGAAAGTCTAGCTTTTCCTCCCTGGGTACTGACAAGTGCGCATGCGCGTTAGTGTCGACGTCTGCTTTCACGCACCTAAAATTCTCCGCTATTGTTGTGCTCGGGTAATTGGCAATATTGTGTTTAGTGTAAAAGTGAAATAAACAAAAGGCAATAAAATTTAATAGTGAATTATTAAACAAAGATGAGTTCATCAGACAGTTCTTATTCAATTAGTAGTAGTTTATTTAAAAATTAAAAAACAGTTGAATTGGTTTTTTTATGAGTTACTTATTTAAGTACTGTGTGATGGCAGTGTTGATAAAAAAAAATTTGCTTATATGGGTGGACGAGCTGGCAGCCCACCTGGTGTTAAGTCATTACTTGAGCCCGTAGACATCTATAACGTTAATGTGCCACCCATCTTGAGATATAAGTTCTAGGGTCTCAGTATAGTTACAACGGCTGCCCCACCCTTCAAACCGAAACGCAGTTCTGCTTCACGGCAGAAATAGTCAGGGTGGTGGTACCTACCAGTGCGGTCTCACAAAAGGTCCTACCACCAGTAAAAAATCATATCATCAAAAAACTTATCATAGCTTCTTATTAAGCGACACCAGCATAACTGCGGATGTGTACTGTGAAGAACACAATGATGGAGAAATTCGTGATTCTCCGACCAGCTTCGATTATTTGATCGTCTCCGCTACTCCTACACGACAACGCCCGATCTCATACGACATAACAGATGGCCTCTAACCTATAAGATCTTGGAAGGTTGGAAGTTTTGCGTCTTCCATCGTACACACCAGACTGCGCCATACCCATGCATCAGCTCGCTGAGTTTCTCGCCGGATCTTCTCAGCGGGTCGCGATTCCGATCCGGCAGTAGATTCATTCGCGAAGCAGTTGCTCTTGAGTTGTTATTTAATCCCACCCCTTCTGGCTGAGCCTTTGCTCGCCCACCTGTCTTGGTGAAACTGGAAAGGCCTCCGGGCCACCAGTAAATCTTCAATCACATCTTCAATATGGGCGACGGTAACCACTCATCATCAAGTGGTCCGTATGCTAGTCTATCTACAAGGGAAATAAATAAAAAAAGTAGCTGAGTTACAGTACAAAACATATTGAGAGAGTTTGTTGGTTCCCGGACAGATGACTTCTTCAAGAGGGACATTGACAAAATTACCACTACATCACCGATGCATCGATGACATTTTAACGGATAGAAATAAAAAAGATATAGTATTTATAAAAAAATGCTTTTCTGTGTAGGTACTTACTAAGCGGCAATATCGTATGTATCCTGATAAATATATGCATTTAACTTATTTGTATGCTGCATGGGTACAGGAAACTTTATGATTTGAATTAAATGACCGATGACCTTAATACGACATTAGGTTGTAAAACAAGGAAAACATTATACTAAGTAGCAACGATAAAATGAGATACAGGGACAAAATGAGGCGAAATACAAAAATATTTGTTTAGCACGATTTTGGAGATTCAAGCGTTCGTTTATTTTTAATTTGAGTCCGCAAGTGTTTTATCGGTGCCACCTATTTATTTCTGTCACCTCCTACGTCATTACTTATTAAACAATTTACTTACTGGTTACTTAATAAACAATTACATAATAAACAACTTTCATTACCTACTTAATAAATAAATAAATTACTTAATTTTACTGGTGGTAGGACCAGGGACGTCTTAAACTAGGATGGGGCCCTTGGGCACACAAGAATTTGAGGTCCTTTTGGAAAGTAAAAAAAGCGAATTATAATAACATTTTTTTACTGAGTATGACCATTTATTGTAGGTAATCAAATACAGTATGTATATCATAATGTTCTAATTCTAATATCATTAATGACATATTATAATAGGTATGTCATTAATGATATTAGAATGCTGCTTGTTTTTTGGTTACGATTTCGATAACGGTTTCTTTCGGGATTTCTGTTGAGCAAAATCTTCTATTATAGGCATAGTATATGCCTTGTAAATACCTTCTGATTACTGATTTGTGAAAAAAGTGTAATGTGACCGACAAAAATGTTTTAAGAATAAACGTGTGAGAGAAATTGTCGGTCTTTCGGGGCCCCCTGAGAATGGGGGCCCTGGGCACGGGCCCCGTGTGCCCTTATGGTAAAGACGGTATTGGGTAGGACCTCTTGTGAGTCCGCACGGGTAGGTACCACCACCCTGCCTATTTCTGCCGTGAAGCAGTAATGCATTTCGGTTTGAAGGGTGGGGAAGCCGTTGTAACTATACTGAAACCTTAGAACTTATATCTCAAGGTGGGTGGCGGCATTTATGTTGTAGATGCCTATGGGCTCCGGTAACCACTTAACACCAGGTGGGCTGTGAGCTCCTCTACCCACTAAATAATTAAAAAAAAGTTGAGATTTTGACAGCATGGTTATAGATTCTGGTAATCACATAGCCGTTCCGTGAGTTCGTTAAGTTATTATTTTGCTAACGTATCTGCCAATGACCTCAAGGGGCTGTTCAGTCTTCGCCACATCTGATGGGCGAACTCACGGGGCTGAGCATGAGAGAATTTACTAACACCTGCCCTAGCATGAGCAGTGTTTCGCTGAATCTACCACTGAATCGGAATCGTGACCTACGGAGAAGGTCTCGCGATAAATACAGTGGCTTGTGTATGTAAGCGTAATAAATACTGATGAACTAAAAGTGTACTTGTTTTCAGATGATAAGGTTGATTTTAGTTTTTTTAACAATATCGCACAGCTACGCCTTGAATAATGGATTAGCAATGACACCACCAATGGGCTGGCTGACATGGGAACGTTTTAGGTGTATAACCGACTGCGAGAAATATCCCAACGAATGCATAAGGTATTTATTTATCAGGGCCCTGAAACTGCGATACTTTAACACAAATATTTTTTGTATGGAAACTAGCGACATCTTGTAGCGGATACTCCTAAACTTATATGTTGTTAAAGTTAAGGCATTTTATTATTGTATAACTTAACACAGAAAAAAATGCCATACAAGTCTTTGTTTGTTATTGATTAAATTTTATCAATTTGTGGTTCCTGGAAATTTACAAAATCCTTCATTAAAAATAAAATATAGGGTAGGTCATATGTTACTGTCATCTACAGGAGTAATGAGAAACTGATCGAAGCGAAGCCATCTAGTGGCCGACGCCCGTAAACATTTTTGTTGAGTGCTTGAGTTGGATATCTATAACTAATTTATGTGTATTATCTATGGTATTTATACGTGAATAGGTACTACCTGACTATGGCTTAGATTTTTGGGGTCTATTAAAAAAAAACCATACGTAGTATAATAATATTTACCGAATACTGTTCTCACAGTCATAGAGTTTCTGACATGATTTCGGGACTATTATATGATAAAATAAGCACCGCTACTTGTCGTTTTAGTAATTGATATTTCTGAATATATAATTTAGACATTTAATTTTAACGGGACCGAGCATTCGTGACTAATCTAGGTATATCTATATAAATATATAAAAATGAAGTGCTGTTCATTAGTCTCGCTAAAACTCGAGAACGTCTGGACCGATTTGGCTAATTTTGGTCTTGAATTATTTGCGGAAGTCCAGAGAAGGTTTAAAAGGTAGATAAATATGAAAATGCTCGGAATTGAATGAAAATAACAATTTTGATTTTCTTTTGATGTGACCCCCGTCGGACGGATTCTTTTTGTTTGTTTTAAGTTTTTTTTATACAAAACTTTAGGTCTTTTATTTATCGATTGAGGCACTACGAAGTCTGCCGGGTAGTATTAAATAGTCTGCTAGTATTAAATAGATTATAATCTAGAATTGCCTATCTGTTACAATACCGGAATATAGTTCCGATAATTTGCGAACGTGACTATTCATTAGGTACCTTCAAATTAAAAAATTGAAAATTATGTTTATTCTCAGCGAGAGCCTAATAAAAAGAACAGCAGATTTGATGGTCAGCGAAGGCTACCTAGATGCAGGATATGAATATTTAGGTATCGACGATTGTTGGTTAGAGAAGACACGCGATGATAAAGGTCGGCTGGTACCCGATAGGAAACGATTTCCAAATGGGATGAAGGCCATAGCTGATTATGTAAGTAAAGTATTTGTTTTAGGGCGTAAAGTTATACAATTTACACAAAAATAGGAATCTTCTTCTTTTTGCCTTAATCCTACTTTTTTTTTTATTGCTTAGATGGGTGGACGAGCTCACAGCCCACCTGGTGTTAAGTGGTTAATGGAGCCCATAGACATCTACAACGTAAATGCGCCACCCACCTTGAGATATAAGTTCTAAGATCTCAGTACAGTTACAACGGCTGTCCCACCCTTCAAACCGAAACGCATTACTGCTTCACGGTAGAAATAGGCAGGGTGGTGGTACCTACCCGCGCGGACTCACAAGAGGTCCTACCACCAGTAAATGTAAGTGTATGTCATATTATCATGTTGCATAGGGATTTGGCATAAGTGTTAGGACCGTCCGCTTGCCTAACGTCAATCCTCCTTAGGTTTTCACATAACACTATATTATTTTGCTGAATTTTTATTAACTGGCAACAAATAACTGGGGACGAATCACACACTGTCATCTGGCCCTAAACTATAGATGGTCACGTGCCCCCTAGTATATCCCTCTGATAATCTAGTGCAAGCATCAATGTAAGTTAAAATTAATTAAGGGCATTAAAGTACACAGCATAGATTCACTAGGAACTATTCGAGAATCAAATCGAGTAGCTAGATGACGTGTTAAATCGCCTATAGAGCCTAAAGCCATCACACTGTGAACGCATGGCATCTGAGACATAACATCATCTTAGTCAACCATCTTTCCTGGTTATCTGTATTCGTTTGTAAAATCTAATAATTTACTACAGAAAAATAACCTTACTTTCAGATCCACAGCAAAGGCTTAAAGTTTGGCATGTACGAAGATTATGGAAACCTCACATGTGCCGGTTACCCCGGGGTGCTTGGAAACGAAAAAATCGATATCAACACATTTGTCGAATGGGAAATCGATTATTTGAAGCTCGATGGATGTTATATTGACCCGATACAAATGGATAAAGGTATATTCTTCGTTCTTTATGTTTTTATCCTGTAATGGTCAGAACAAGACTTATCTACGATATAGTTTTGGTTTAACTCACATTGTTAGGAATTAATGTATGTCACATGTCTACCCTAGTCTTCTAGGGATTGGTAAACGAAGGCAACACAAATACCCTGCTTGTGGATTCAGTTAGAAAGTAAGAGAAGAATGCTGATCTGGATCTCAAAGAGGTCGCAGATGCCAATAGGTAGCCTTTTTTGACAGTACAGGACAGATTTGCACCATTTTATACCTAACGTTTTTGTAGCTTGCGTTTTTGTGAAGTTGAAACTTTTGTTGCCCATGTCGCAATGGACTCGTAAGCTTCGGTATTTCTGGCGTGGCACTAACACATATCAAAACGCTATTGCACAAAATCCTAATTACTTCCAAGCTCCAAATCTATATTTCTAAGGCATGGTTCTACCGTAGTTTATACTCACAAATATCTTCCTTATGTTACTTAGGCTATCCAGACTTCGGTAAATTGTTGAACGCAACTGGACGATCCATCTTGTACTCCTGTAGCTGGCCAGCATATCAAGAGGAAAAAAAGATATTGGTATTGTTTTTTATTTGGTTACGTAAACCTTAAAAGATATTACGCTGTTTGTATAAACTTTTCGCCAAATTCTCATTTGTTGGGTAATTTCTCATTTTTAGTAAACAGGGCAGTTTGAGCAGAATTTATTTGGTTACGCATATTAATACCAAGATATTTGACAAAAACTTTTGCAGTCGCTGTGGTAGGAGGTTTAATGTTTTCATAATATAAATTCAATGAGCGAAAGCCTGGCGAAAGCACTGTTATTCTTAACTATTAGGCTTAGATTAGTAATCAAACTAGTATATATATTCTTATTTCATAAATATGTATTTAAATAATTATTTTTTTTAAGCCAAACTATGCATCGATCGCTGAACACTGTAACTTATGGCGCAATTATGATGATATAGAAGACTCTTGGGCATCTCTTACGAAAATCATGGCCTGGTTTGGTGACAACCAGGACAGGCTTGCTCAGCACGCCGGGCCTGGACACTGGAACGACCCTGATATGGTTAGTGGGACAGATTACTTAGTTTTTCAAACATTACTTTGAGGTCAGAAGGTTATGATGAGGAAAGGAGATACGGAAGTTCGAGTCCAGTTTGGGTGGTAAATACTTTCTTGTCTCCCATCAGTAGTCGTAATAGATGCAACCTTTTTAATTTTTAAACTTAACCCCCTCACTGATTTATTTCCTCTTTTGTCAATTTATGGCCTGACTTTCTCAAGTTAAATTTGACCTCAATAGGTTATAAGGATTAAAGCTATACGAGAAATAAAACTATAGCTTGATCCTTCTAGTAGAATAAAAAAAAATTGTAGCACAATGCGTTGGTCACGCATTTCAAATTGTTCTTTTCTATGTTTGACATAATGGTGATAAAAACGGTGTGACGAATGTACAAGGTGGGCCAAAAGAGATCACCCTATTGAAAGAAGCTCTTATTACTTATTTGACCAATAAAATTCTAAAGGTTCAAATAAAGATAATCAAAAAACAGAATCGAAGTTTTTCATTTAGAAAAAAAATGAGAGCCAAACAACATCGAATGACTTCTTTTTGCCCACCTTGTACGTTTCTCGTAAAATCTTATATTGTTTAATAAAATGATTGCAAGCAAGCAAGATTTTTTCTTTTTAGTTACTAATTGGCAACTTCGGTCTATCGGTGGACCAAGCTAAAGTACAAATGGCTGTTTGGGCGATCCTAGCAGCACCGCTTCTGATCAGTACTGATTTGGCGACAATAAGGCCAGAATTCAAACAAATATTACTGAACAGAGACATTATAGCCATCAACCAAGACAAATTGGGTAAACAAGGATTGCGTGTTTGGAAAAAAATGGGATCTGGATCCGTGAGTATACCATACCTATCTATTAGTGCTCAGCACAATCGGTGACGCTATCTATCTAATATTCTCTCCGGTTTTAGCGAGTCGCAGACATAATTAAAACTAGTTTTAAGATTGTATCGCGCGTTTTTATTGTTCCTAAATGTAAATTATTCGAAACGCCGGAAAGAATATATTGACAATAAAAGAAATGCGAGATTAAACCGTAAAAGTACTTTTAATTATTATTTACCTATTAAAATTGAACTTAATGCTGTAATATGTTGTTACTATTAATAATAAGGTTATTATTGTACCTATTCAATATCACAACGCCGTTTATTACTAATGTTGAGATCGGAGCGATGAGAAAGAGAAGACAACCGATATGTACCGAAAATGGCTAAATGAATTGTTATGGCTTGCAAACAGAACATTTCTGTCAGAAAAATGTACTATATTATCTATGACAGTTCCATGCATAGACGCTATTAGATTTTTTAAATTAAAAATAATTTTACTGTAGTAGGTAGTACTTTTTTTGTCTCGATCGCGCTATGGAGATCGCGCGCATTTCACCTTGATTGACTTTGAACATGTGATATTTGTTACAGAGGTCCAAATTAGAGATATGGAAAAGAGAACTTTATGACGGTTCCTTTGCTATGGCATTTGTGAGTTATCGGGACGATGGAATACCTTACGCAGCCAAATTTACGTATTATGACATGCAATTACCTCAGTCGGAGTTTGAAGTACAGGTCAGTTACAGAAGGGAATTAATCTCATATTTGTTGTAGGCACGTAATTTTTGCGAATTGCCAGAAAACATACTGTTACGCATTCCCTATACATATTAATGTTACCTATTTGTTGTTTATTTGTTTTACTAATTGAATTTAAATTGAGACTGATTTAAAATTGTTTTTTTAGGACTTGTACAAAGAAGAAGAAATTCGGTCATGGGATGGCACAAGCGACTTCGAAGTTCGGATTAACCCTTCTGGTAATTAAATTTGTCCTTTATCTTAACTTCTACCGGTACGTTCTGGGGTTTATTGTTTTCTAAAATCTCGAAGGATAAACAAAGCCGTTGCTATTTAATACGAAAATGGCACAAAGAGTGGTTTCACTGAGGTAGGTACTTCTGAAGTCTGTGCTTTAATACATAAACATCTGAATATCTAGTGTTGTGCATTAATTGCATTTATTAGAATATTTTTGACCTGCTATAAGTACAGGTTTGCCAAAAAATCGATTAGGTACTTTTGGTAGCAGATTTACAGAGGCGTTAGCCAGAGCCCATTTGCGTCACAACATGAGATAAGAGGAATTGGGGTGGAATGTTGAATTTCGTAACTCTGTTTGTATGTTGTTGATTGTTGATTGGTTATAATGTAAGGGTCGGCAACTTTTGACGCGCAGGTCATAAAACAACCCACTTTAGTTCTGAAAATAAAGTATCATATTCACCATAAATATAAACTAAATAAGCGCCTTAAGTTCAACATGGAATGAGATGAAATAGAACGGAACATGGGAGCTATTAATATAAAAGAAAATGCAAACAATGGTTATGTTTTTTTTTAGAAAATCTATGTAATTAATACTAATAATTTTGGTTGATTTTAAACGAGTATTAAAAAGGCTACCGTTCTATGTTTAGAGATTAGTTCGTTCACTGCGCCTCATTTTCGATGAAGTCAATTGCTTATTTTTCTTTCAGGAGTTAAATTTTACAAATTCATTAGCAAAAAATCTATGCCGGAGATTTTGGATATAACAGTAAAAATGATTGTGAAGAATCAAGTGTGTAATTAGTATTAGTTTTTGTAAATAGCTAAACTTTTATATCAATAAATTATTGGATCATTAACCAGTCTTTTCTATTCACTACAAATAAAAGTAATACAACAAAAACTAATGTTTTATTTTGATACGTTATCGTATGCACTAATATTTGTCCTATTTCTGAAGGGTGAAGTTCTGGTTTGAAGAGTGTGACTAGTGTGAGTTGTGATTGCCGCTATACTATAAAATTGAGATTCAAGTGCTTTGTCTATGGGCAGCAACCAGTTCACTCTTGGTAGGTATTAAACTCGTTCACTTGTCTATGTAATAGAAGTCATCGTGGTCTTTAAAGGTTAAGATTAAGACATTCGTATCGAGCAATGTCACTATGCCAGTGCTGACTCCTGTAGGCATGAACCAACTTTTCTAATGAAATACATACGTACTTAACATATGTTCCCGAATGACTTCCACAATGAAGAAATAACATCGTGTAATAAAAATTAAACCTTAAAAAAATATAATTTACCTAATTACTCGTTGTAGCACGTATTATGAGCGCATACAACTGTGTACCAAAATTTTTCCTATTTCTTCCGTGAAGCAGATTGCAGAAATGCGTTTCGTTTTGAATAGTGGCCCAGCCGTTGTACTTTAACACAGATACATAAAACTCATATCACAAGGAATAACAAAAGACATTGCTCCTCGTGTTTCTGCCAGAAAGTTGCATTTTTCAGTAATTACCTAATTTTAAGTACTAAGATCAGTAGATCAGTATTCATAGTCTAGAGTTTAGCCATAGCCTAGATAGTTTTGTGTACTCATTGAGGAACCTAGCCAGTAGGTACTCTTGCATTAAGGTTGAACTGTGTCAATTTTGACATTATACTGTAAATTTATTGATGATTTACTGTATGACGCTAGGGTACCGTACTGGGTACCTACAGGTTTCATACTCCCGAATCCTGATCACGCAGGAGTAAGTCACCGTCGTCGCCCTAGACACGTCCTTACGGATCCAATAACTCTTAAATTAGATACCTTCAGCTCTAACACTAGGAGCAGGCTGAGGAACCCCGGTAACCGTACTCGTCAAACTCGACAAAGAGGTCAACGTGCAGCCTAACCCATGCATCAGCCCGCTGAGTTTCTCGCCGGATCTTCTCAGTGGGTCGCGATTCCGATCCGGTAGTAGATTCATTCGCGAAGCAATTGCATTTGAGTTGTTAGGTCTCCTTCGGAGGCGCTCGGGCAGTTGTTAGCAAATCCCACCCCTCCTGGCTGAGCCTTTGCTCACCCACCTGTCCTGGTGAAGCTGGAAAGGCCTCCGGGCCACCAGTAATCTTTCAAGCATAAAAAAAAAGGTTTCATACTTCAGCGGTACCTACCTACCACTGAAGTAGTAAAGGTCTATGGTACCTACCTAGTACCTACCTACATCATTTTAAAAATGTCAAACGTCAAAATTTTTTTTTGCTTTGTTCATAGATAATTAGATATTTTAAACACTTTTATTTTAAAAAAAGTATGGAAGTAGGTATGTAAATATTTCACCTAAATTTACTGCAGTCACAAAGTCAAGCAAATTGAACAAAATGGTTTTAAAACAATTACAGACAGCTAACTAACAATATTACTTTATTAAATAATTGTTATGTTCAAAGATTATGAAAAGCAAACGCTACGCCACCGTGATGTCTTGTTGCTGATTCCTGAAGTTCACTTTTGCTTTTTGATATAACTTAATGAAATAAGTGAAATATAAACTAGTTTATTTGGTGTCGATAGATTTACGGTTAGATTTTCAATGTTTGCATGGAATTCATATTCATTTGTACCCACTTGTTGTACTAAAAACATACTGATAAATCGCGACAAACTTCTTTATAAAATAAATAAAGATACTCCAAGCACATTAGTTTTTATAATAAAGAAAGCTAGTTGCTGCCTATGTTGGTATTGGGTCAATGGTGTTTCGTGCGTGCGATACCTACTGTGTAGTGTGTGACGTCTGTGTTCGACCGGCATTCATTGACAGACGAGTTTCGACTGGCCAGAGAACGGTCGGTAAATAGTGCTCTTATTAGTTCGCGCCGGTTAACACTTGTTCAATTCTTATTGTGAAAGCAGTATACTGTAAATATGGGCGGAAAAGTTGAGAATGTAGGCATACTCGCCATGGAACTTTATTTCCCGTCGCAATACGTTGATCAGACTGAACTAGAAAAATTTGATGAGGTGTCTACTGGCAAGTACACTATTGGTTTGGGCCAGAGTAAAATGTGTTTCTGTTCTGATCGTGAAGACATCAATTCCATTTGTCTCACAGCCTTGCACAGACTAATTGACAAACAAAAGATCAACTTGCATGATATTGGACGCTTGGAGGTGGGCACAGAAACTATCATTGATAAAAGTAAGAGTGTTAAGACATTTTTGATGACATTGTTTGCTAAAGAAGGCGCTACTGACATAGAAGGAATAGATACAACTAATGCCTGTTATGGTGGTACTGCTGCTCTATTTAATGCCATAAATTGGGTAGAATCTTCATCCTGGGATGGTAGGAAGGCCATAGTTGTTGCTGGTGATATTGCTGTCTATGGAAAGGGCCCTGCGAGACCTACAGGTGGTGCTGGTGCTGTTGCTATGTTGATAGGGCCTGATGCACCCCTTGTGTTTGATTGTGGAGTGCGGGCCTCATACATGACACATGCATATGACTTTTACAAGCCAGATTTATCATCAGAGTTTCCTTATGTAGATGGGAAACTATCCATACAGTGTTACCTCAATGCTTTAGATAATTGTTATAATTTGTTTAGTAAAAAAATGAGAAAGACTGATCCTAACTTCAAAGGTTTGCTTAGTTTAGACGGTATGTTATTCCACTCTCCGTACTGTAAACTTGTTCAGAAATCATTAGCAAGAGTGTGCTTCAATGATTTTCTGAATATACCTGCTGAGGAACGTGAGAAACAATTTCCTGGGCTCTCCGAGTTTAGTAATCATAAATTAGAAGATACTTACTTTGATAGGGAAGTTGAAAAAGCATTTATGACATATAGCTTAAGTTTATTTGAGGAGAAAACAAAACCTTCTCTTCATATTGCACGTAATGTTGGTAATATGTACACACCATCATTATACGGAGGTCTTGTGTCTTATTTGATAAGCAAATCTCCAGATCAGTTAATTGGGAAGAAGTTTGCTTTGTTTTCATACGGCTCAGGATTGGCATCGACAATGTATTCCATAAATGTCTGTCATGATATGAGTACTGGATCAAAGTTAGAAAAGCTTATCTCCTCGTTGCATGAAACAGTTGCTTTACTGGATAAAAGGCAGAGTGTGGAACCCAGTAAGTTTTCAGACATAATGGATGTTAGAACTAAAAACTATCATTCCGCACCGTATGAGCCTACTGGTTCTTTAGATGTCCTGTTTCCAGGAACATATTACCTAGTGAAAATAGATGATCAGAGAAGGCGTACTTATGATAGGAAACATTAATTACTTCTTAGTGAAAATTTTTGGTGTAGGCCGTCTTTTAGTATGAAAAGCAATTATTATCATAAATCATAAAAAAACAAGTGCTTAGTCTTTGTTCAAAGTTTATGTTTGTTATCTATTAGTGTTAATTATCTATTGGTGTTTGTAACCCATTTTGTATTTTTAAGTCAGATAAATAAACAGTATGTAAACATGCAATAAATTGTGAAGTATTAGTATAATTATCTTCGTGAACAGAAAGCAATTTAAACATCCTAAACTTAATTAATCAGAACTTTAATTTTAGATTGCTGTTGAGATGTGCTTACATTATATTAATGTTTAAAATTTTCAAACAGAATAAACTATTCAGGTGAAACCTAAGAATAAATTCAAAGTAAATTAGGTTTTTAAGTGTAATGCTTATAGAAAAGTAATGTGTTTCTCATTAATAATTTGTTGAATTAAATACACACACAAACATTTTATGTTTGAAAATGTATTTTTGTGAACATTAACAAAACAGGTAAATTGTTAATGAATTGAGTATGATTTGAAACAGCTTATATGATTGAAATGTGTGTGAATAAAATTCACTAATATATTATTTAAATTTCTGGAAATAAAAGGTTGTGTCAATAAGGTTTTTTATTAATTTTTTCACAATTACCTTGAGTAATTTTATCAAGTATCAATTTGAACAAAAAACTTTAAAAACCTGCGTTTAATTTTTAAACTAAGAGCTAGGAGTAATTTAAAGTATTTAAAAAAAACTCAGTGTAAAACAGTGTCCACAATGAGTTTAGTATCATTTCTACACATGGTATATTGTACACTATGTCATATTCGCCATAGTATGTAGTTAACAGTATTTATTTATTATTTTTTTTGGTCAGGAGGAAATCGCCAGTTTTCGCCCTCAACGGGAGATGGAGGGCGCGGCATGTCGGAGTCGAACTGACTAAAACCTCCTGTCGCTCAACAACCCACGTCCGAATCTCGCATGAGAAAACTCATGAAAAGGCAAAAGGGGGAAAGTGAAGTGTTTAGTGTGGTGTACATCTCTCCCATCACCCTCCCCCTCGGGACGCCGGACCAGCGGTGGTCGGCGCCACGACCACCAGCCCTCTCGGCCGCAAGTTAATATTATACCCGTAGGCTGTTGTAGGTTCATGACAGTGTCTCCCAATGCCTTGTTGCTCTTTATCGTTATGAAGCTAATCTTAAACAAGTACAAACCGTAAGGGAACTAAACCGTGGGAATAATGGAAGAGCCATGATTTCATACATGCTTTTAAATCTAATAAATTTATTATTTGTATAGATAGGCGTGTTCATGCATGTGCACCATCTGAAATTCAACCCGCCCTTGGGCCTGGATTGCAGTCTTTTGTTGACAAGAAGTCGAAATTAAATGAACACTTCATACCAGGATGCATTATTTTGCCGTCTGCCAGTCAATTTTCACAAAGTTTCTGGATCTACAGATTAAATAAGTTAATAGGTACCTAGTCTAGCAAATGAAAACTTATTGCTTCCTGATAGTAGCGTAGCGAGCGGGGGCACGGGGCATCATGCACCTGGCGCTACTTACAAAGGGTACCAAATGGTCTGCAAAACAAAAACAAATCTGGATAATTTTAATTTTTATTTTAATCGATTTCCGGAAATTTATGATAATAATAGGTATCTATTTAACTAATTCTAAAAAGGTATGGTGCCCCGGGCGCATGTTAAGATCGTTACACCACTGCTTCTCGATAATAATCAGGTAAAAAAAAGGAAACTATCATCGATTCGACTCCAAATGTGGACCTGGATTTGATAGATAAAGGTAGCTAATTTCGTATTAAATAGCATCATGAGCTATCTACTCAAATCAAATCAAATTAAAAACACTTCCTAAGTTGGCTAGCTTCCTAGCCTAGGTAGAATTTAAGACTAACACTTGTATGTCCAATAAGAAAATATCGCAACCGAGAATATTCCAATGTCCACATTCAGTCATTACGTAGTTGTAGTAGAAAGTACAAATATAGTTTTCACCTACTTGAAGTCATCGTGGTCTAAAGAATAAGACGCATGGTGAATTCGTTTTGAGTGATATCACTGTGCAGGTGTTCGAATCATGTAGGCAGATACCAATTTTCCTATTGAAACCTATTACTCCTGTTCACGAATGACTCCTACGAAATATAGTCTAATAAAAATCAAACCCGCAAGAAGAGATTGCGTAATTACTGTGCAATTGAGACGTAGACGTCAAGTTTCAAGGTGGGAGGCGGCGTTCATGTTGTGATGCTAGACACAGCCCACTGAGTTTTCCTCGCGTTTCCGATCCGGTGGTAGATTCTGCTAAGCACTGCTCTTGCTAGGGCTAGTCTTCTCTGGAGGCGCTGGAGTCTGACATAACCCGGTCTCTTACCCCTCTCGACCGGGTATCCGTAAATGGATTCCCCAGCGTTAAAAAAAAAGGGCTAGTATTAGCAACACTTCAGGTTTGAGCCCCGTGAGCTCACCTACATGTCAGGGTGAAGCTGAAATAGCCTCTCAAGGCTATCAGCATAGGTAGGATTTTTTTTTGTGATTACTACCGAATCCACTTGAGTGGTCATCAACACGAAGTGGACCGCGAACTCGTTCACCCATGAAAGCAATAAATACATTAAAATGTATTTTATTTCGTAATTTAATTATAATCAGTATTATAGGCGTTGAAGTACCTCGTTGATATAAACCATTATAAAGAATGTGTTCAAAACTCGGCTCGATACAATGTTACTAAATTTGTAATATTTCGTATTTACTTACTAAGACTCTATAGCAAAAGTGCAACTGGTGGTTGGACGCATTGTGAGTCTGCACGGGAAGGTACCACCGCCCTGCCTATTTCTGCCGTGAAGCAGTAACGCGTTTCGGTTTGAAGGGTGGGGCAGCCGTTGTAACGATACTGAGACGTTAGAACTTATATCTCAAGATGGTTGGAGGCATTTACGTTGTAGGTGTCTATGGGCTTCGGTATCCACTTAATACCAGGTGGGCCGTGAGCTCGTCCAACCAACTAAGCAGTAAATCAAAAGTGATGTGTAGTTTTAGTTAATCAATATCATTAATGTTGATTCTTTCGGACTGCGAATCCACATCAATCGCGAACAAAGTTTTTTTTTTTATAAAAAAAAAATGTATTATTAATAAAACTTCTATGTTTATAAAATCAGACATGAAGTATGAACGAATTAAAACATTTTTAGGATGAAACTCACTACTGATTTCTGTCAAAGGATATTTCAGAGCCGTTTTTAGGCTTGCACGCTATTTTTTTTATTTAATTTACTTCAGATTTTACATCCATATTACACGTCTTCATTACATTGCATTAACATATCATTTATACTAAAATTAAATAAAAATAATAACTAATCTCGGACTAAAACAAAAACGATAATAATAATAATAAAAACAAAAAATCAAATAATAATAATAATAAAACAAAAACTCTAAATTTAACATGAAAACTACCTTAACCTAAAGGCTGGTTTGGATCCAGAGTGCTCAAAATGCACACGTGTTCAGTGTTGCATTATTGGGCAGTCCAGATCCATCCGTGAGGCGAACAGCCGTAGGCAGCGGTTGCGACTGACCCTATGTAACCTAAATAATAATTAGCTGATATGCGATATCCTCAATTTTGTGCGAACGCACTTTCACTGGACACTTCTGGTTAAAATAGAAAGTACACGATGTTTGCCATCAATGTTACTAAAAAAAAGCATTCTCATCAGAAGCATTTAGACCCGTTTCTATTCTCGAACAACAGAATGTGCTAATTCATAAAAAAAAAAATAGTTTTTCGTATATTGTTTATCATTTTTACTACTTAGGTGGGTAGACGAGCTCACAGCAGTCACAGCCCACCTGGTGTTAAGTGGTTACTGGAGCCCATAGACATCTACAACGAAAATGCGTCGTCACCCACCTTGAGATTACTGGTGGTATGGGTGGGGCAGCCGTTGTAACTATACTTAAGACCTTAGAACTTGTATCTCAAGGTGGGTGGCGCATTTACGTTGTGGATGTCTATGGGCTGCAGTAACCACTTAACACCAGGTGGGCTGTGAGCTCGTCCACCCATCTAAGCAATAAAAAAAAATCTAATTTCTAAGGTCTGGAGTATAGTTACAACGGCTGCCCCACCATTCAAACCGAAACGCATTACTGCTTCACGGCAGAAATAGGCAGGGAGGTGGTACCTACCTGCGCGGACTCAGAAGAAGTTCTACCGCCAGTAATATCATTCATAAAATCTAAAATGTCGTAAGCACCAACAGCTATATATAGATTATTTATATTCGCTTTGTAAGCAGACGCGTTTTCTATTGTGTTTTATTTACGTACCGTCTAAACAAGTCTTCGCTGCGATGACCGCGAAATGATTAAGTTATTGTACAATTGAACTTCGAGATATTGAACTGCCGATAACACGCGCTATCTCCCCGATAAATGTGGCTTACCGTTTCCTGTATTACCTGAAACTATTTACGACGCGGTGATGTCATCTTAGGTAGATGGGTTAGTATAGGATTAAATGGGTTTTGTTTTTCTGGTTACTATAATACTTATAATAGTATTTATTGTCTTCGGTTTTCGAGAGTAGACATCATTAAAAATACTTTGGGCGTTTAAACTGTCCTGGTTTAATTATATAATAATAATGAAATTGTTTGGCAGACTTATTCCAATGTTTTCCTTTTTATTTTGTTTGCATTTATAGGGTGAATTCGTCCTGGCCTAAAGGATAAGACGTCCAGTGCATTCGTATCGAGCTATGCGGCACTACCGGTGTTTGAATCCCGAAGACAGGTGTGGCGGTAGCCATCACAGAACACTAGATATTTGAGAGATGCTTGAATCCCGCTTACAAGATAAGCTTGCACATATACAAGTTCCGAACAGCAACATTTGGAATATTGGTCTACCGAGCAATGTCACCCGCTAGGTGGAAAACCTTCCCTTTTACTTGCACTAATTAATACGCTTTTATTAGCTTCAGACGTATGTATATTTTTGTAATGGAATCTTTGAACATGATTTTGACCCCCTTCAAAACGTCGGATTGACTCGAAATTTGGTATACTTATTAAGGACCAATGACAATTCAATATTAAAAAATAAATAAAAAAAAAATTAAATTCAACGAAAAATGAAAAATAAATAATAGTTTAAAAAAGTAACAAAATACGTTTTTATAGAAAATCCAACCAAAAACTAGAAAATATATATTAATATATTTGAATTAAAAATAGTGTAAGAAAAAAATATTTTATTGTAAAAAAAGCGTGGGGTGCTTTTCAGGATTTTATCAAAATAACCCTTCTACTCATATCTGTTCATAAAATATTTATAACTACTGATACCATGCACCTTTAAACTATTATTTATTTTTCAACAAACGTTCACGACTAACTGCCACTGTGAAGGCACAGCATTAAGAAAAACAAATCAAACCCGCAACAAGTATAATTCGCGTAATTACTGGTAGTAGCGCATCTAGTGAGCCTGCCCGGTATCAGCACTCAGTCATCCATCACCTGGACCCACTGCTACGAATTTATATTATGGGCTTCGTTACCACTTAAAATCAGATACGTTGAAAAAGAGAAGAGAGAAAATCAGATATCGCTGATGCAATAACTATTTATAAAATGCAATAAGTAAATTAAAATATAATTATAACCTCTTATTATTTTATTACTTTTAAATATATATGTTACAGAGCGCTGAGGTGTTGCCAGCGTAGGAATTGAGGCTATAGCATTACATTTCAAGGTGAGCAGTGACATTCACGTTGAATAATCCAGTAGCCGGTAAAATTTACAATAAAAAAAAACCGTTATCAACCGCGCTGCCAACTTAAATTTTATCTATAATATTATCTACTTTGTATCTGGCAATAATACGTTCAAGTCACATTGTAAGATTAATGTAGAACTTTATTCGAACAAATATCACATCACTATTCACGACAAACCAGTTCTATTTGGTTTAAATCTGGTTTGTATTAGTTCGACATGTCCGGTAAGGTATGTTAATTGTCATCGAATATGGCAATTACCGTTATGACATCTATAAGCTTCTCAGTGTGTTAAATATATCTATATCGTTTCGTATTTTATCAGCTTTATAAATTATAGAGCCGTAGAGCTAGGAACTGTCCAACGGACAGGGCAATTGCGCTGTTAAACGAATTTCTGTCCGAAATACAGGATGCTCACGTATTTGCCGATAGTTGGGGAATACTTTATTCCAAAATAATTTTATTTTTAGCATCATATCATAATAATTTATAATTTCAATAATATTTTTGTGTTAACGAGTCAGGCGTTTTGGTGAAAACTGTAAGCCTGACTTTGTATTGAATGGAATAAATAAATAAATAGGATTTAATTTCTATACATCCTACACATACTATTTTTTATTACTGGTGGTAGGACCTCTTGTGAATCCGCACGGGTAGGTAGGTACCACCACCCTGCCTATTTCTGCCGTGAAGCAGTAATGCGTTTCGGTTTGAAGGCCGGGCGGCTGCTGTAACTATACTGAGATCTTAGACCTTATATCTTAAGGTCGGTAGCGCATTTACGTTGTAGATGTCTATGGGTTCCAATAACCATCTAAGCTCTGTGAGATCGTCCACCCATCTAAGCAATAAAAAAAAAGGGAACATAATAGGAGCAAGTCATTTGTCCTGTCCGTTACCATTTCAACCTTGCAATCCTTAGGACTGTCAGGTGACCATGCTTCTCCTGCGAATCTCACCATTCCTGATTCCCTCGCGCAGAGAGACTCCGAGCATTGCCTTTCTGTTGCCCTTTGAGCTTGAGATTCATTGGAAGTAACAACTCGCTACCGTATTTTATCATTAGCGGTAACGCATACTTGACTTTCGCCTTGAGGCAGTACGGTGTTTAAAATGAGAAGATTCTGCGCAAACTGTTACTCAGGGTGACAATATTTTCCTAAATAAAGATAATGCTTTTCAAACTCGCACATGTATACCACATACCACAAGGCACTAAAGGGAAGTAATATACAACAACAAAAAATACACACACACACACATATCATACTATTCTAAAAAATTTTTATACTAGCGACCCGCCCTCGCTTCGCTTCGGAAACATTAAATTTTATTATTGATAGCTGAGTCCCGCGATGTTACCCGCGGTTATTGTCGTACCGCCGGTGACGCCGCGGGGTGAAGCTAGTCTAAAAAAGTAGCCTAAGTTACTCCTTATATCATCAGCTACCTATCAGTAATAGTCTCGTCAAAATCGGTGCAGCCGTTCCAGAGATTAGCCGGAACAAACAGACAGACAGACAAAAATTGTAAAAAATGTTATTTTGGTGTATGTACCGTATATATATTCATATATGCATGTAGTAAAAAGCGGTTATTTCAATATTACAAACAGACTATCCAATTTTATTTATATGCATAGATATTTATATTATGTAGCTTCTGTTGGAAGTGTTTGTTTTCTCTATCCGGATTGTACCTTCGTCGATTCTCATTTAATATTGAATGATTAAAAATGCTTAAAATATTCAGTTATGTTCATGTATAACGACTAGTTTCACCCTGTCTATATAATAATATGTGAATAGTATTAATTGTTTAAAGTTCATCGACCCGAACTCAATAGGTCTTCGGAGGTTCACAGTTGTTACGACATTACGACTATTAAACGGCGTATTTTACTAAAGAGCCATATAGATAAATATATTAACTTATCATTTATAGTTACTGTTTAATGATTCCGTATTTATAGTGGCCATAAAACAACCATAATCATTTTGATAAAGTACGCAGTTATATTTTACGTCTATGTCCGTGTACGTAATTTACCGGACGAAAGCTATAACGTAGATATTGTACCTATGTTCTTGCTCAAATAAGAAGCACCTGCTAGACCCATGAACTCCAGAAAATAGTTGAGGAGACGTTTTCGTTGTATTTTGATCCTCAACGAATAATTTGAATAATATGTTTAATCACTAGGTACATAGTATAAAACAAAGTCGCTTTCTCTGTCCCTATATCTGTCTGTCCCTATGTATGCTTAAATCTTTAAAACTACGCAAAGGACTTTGATGCGGTTTTTTTTATTGTAAAATGATCTCGCACTCAAAGGACAAAACTGTACATGTCATGCTTAGAAAAATGTTAAATTGACTTACAATATGATAACAAACACATATCATTTACGATTGGGAATAAAAAGGTCTAATAAAAATAATAGGTCAATAAATTTTTTGGGTATATTTCTTAATTTCATAATGATAAGACGCAATATTCCAAATACTATAAAATAGGTCGTATTCATTTCGATTGCATTAGTTTGATCATTGCAAGCAAACAAAAGTAAGTACCATTTATGGAGTAAACGTATTAATAATATAATAATCTGTATACAAATTCCACCTGTCAGACTTCATTTTTTGAAACGTTCGAATAATAATTTTTTTATTGTTTATTTTTCGTTTTTAACTTATCAGTATTCTGTTCTTCAATCAAAAATTAATTGTTGATAAATAGCCGTTGTACTGTGAAAATTCAGACCTAACAACTCATATCTCAAGGTAGTTAGGTGGCGGCATTTAAGTACGTTGTAAATGTCTATGGGCTCCGGTAGCCAATTAACATCAGGTGGGCCGTGAGCTCGTTCACCCACCTAAGCAATAAAAAGAATTGATATGGGCACCGAGTAGCCAGATGTTTAAATATGTTTTTTCTTTTTTTCAGTTAAAAATGAAATTCTTCGTTGCTTTCGTTGCTATCGTAGCTGTGGCTGTCGCCAGCCCCACCAAGCCCATTTTCGCACCCGAAATCATCGACTTCCCTCTTCCCGACGGTGGTGCTGTCACTGAGCCAATCGTGCCCTCCCCCGTTATCGTTGGACCAGTCGCACCAGGCCAGCCCACTCCTCTCGTTCAGATCATTGTGAACGTGAACCACCCAGGAGCTGATGCTGCTATCATTCCGCAGCCCGTCATTGTTGACGAGTCCGATGAAGTCAAACCCGACCCCGTTATTATCGCCGAAGAGGCTGAAGAAGGCCCCATTGTCCCTGAACCCGTAATCGTTGCTCCCATCAACCCCATCCCAGTCGCCCCCGTCATCATTGGAACCCCCATCATACCCTCTCCTGCCGTCACCCTTCCTGAGGAGCTCAACTAAGTAACTGTGATAGAACTTGTTTAAATGCAATGTCAATAATATAGGCATTACCTCAATTGTACGAATAAAATTGACACAAAAGTATATTGATACATTAGATTGTTTAATTTTTGCAATTTAATATTTCATTTCCAAGTTATCTGTTATTTTTTACATGATTACCGTCTAAAATTTTGATGCTGGGACGATTTCTGAGAGCGCAGAGGTAGGTACAATCTCTCATCTCTACGGGACTGGAGATTTTAAGGTCATGCCTTAGAAACTGTGAAGTATTTTCTGAGATTTACGAATCATGTGGATCTCTAACTAAAACCTGTTTAATGCAGACTACTTTTCGCATCTTCTTTAAATCACCGTCATGCTTCCATAGTTCGGCTGTGTACACGCCCCAACAACTACATATTTAAAACTTGCGTGATTTGTACACGTAATGAAAAGAACTTACCGGTCTCTCGATCTCTGGTCTATTACCTGCAAGAGTTCAAACTCTTTTTATACCGAGTTCAATGAGAATTTGATCAGTGGTTTAAGCGTAACAATTAACAGACAAGTAATGTTAATTATGTAAACATAGCAAAATGTAAATTCTAATAATATTTGTTACTGTTGGTAGGGCGTCTTGTGAGTCCGCACGTGTAGGTACTTACCACCACCCTGCATATTTCTTCCGTGAAGCAGTAATGCGTTTCGGTTTGAAGGGTAGGGCAGCCGTTGTAACTATACCTTAGAACTTATATCTCAAGGTGGATGGCACATTTACGTTGTAGATGTCTATGAGCTCCAGTAACCACTTAATAACAGGTGGGCTGCGAGCTCGCCCACCAATCTAAGCAATAAAAAAAAACATATGTAAGAAAGCCGGAAGTCAAAAAATCTAATAGTCATGTGTTAGGTTTTTAATTTACTAACATAGATTATAAGTAATACTTAGGTACTAACAAAATGTTATGGTTTATTTACTGAAGTAAATATATATAATAATATTGAAGCTCCTTGACCTGAAAGCTAACACTTACATACTTTTTTAAAAGCTGCTATATTAAACACGTGCAATATCGTAGGAAAGTTTCTGCAAATAGATGATCAACCACATAATGCAATAGTAGAACACACTTAATTAGCCAACCTCGAGAAATCAGGAGATTTACTTGAGCGAGTCCGTAAATGTCACTAAAGTACTACCAGCGCAAGCTGAGAAAGTAAAAATAATAATAATAATAATTCTCGGTTTGCTAACGGCGAGTACTTGCATAGACATAACCAAGTGGCTAGGATTATCCATCAACAACTTGCTCTGAAATATGGTTTTCTTGATTCTGCTGTATCTTATTACCAATACCAACCTCAACCAGTTCTTGATAATGGTCATGTTACGCTCTACTGGGACCGATCTATTATCACGGATAGGTATATTGTTGCCAATAAACCTGATATTGTGATAATAGATCGATCTGCGCGTCGAGCAGTGTTGGTTGATGTCACCATTCCTCATGACGAGAACCTCGTGAAGGCAGAAAAGGACAAATTAATAAAATATTTAGACCTGGCCCACGAGACTACCGCCATGTGGCATGTTGATTCAACCATCATTGTTCCAATAGTTGTATCGGTACACGGCTTGATAGCGAAAAGTTTCGATCAACATCTTAAGAAACTTTCGTTATCCAGCTGGGTTAAGGGCCTAATACAGAAAGCAGTTATCCTCGATACTGCACGCATTGTGAGGAGGTTTCTCACTCTGGAGTCCTAACCACTGGTGGCTTGTGTCGTAGACACCGCCATCAGCGGCTATCTATTTTTATATAGTGTTTTTTAAAAATTGTATCTTTAATATTTTTTTAAAAAATATTATGTAATCAATAAGATTTTAAATAAATATAAATAAATAATAATAATAATAAATTTTAAAATCAAATGGTAAACATATGGAGACTACACTAACCTTGTATACAGGAACAGACCCGACAGCTAGACCAAAGCTACCCAAACTAAAAGAAAGTAAAAACTATATCAGTTAGTCACATTTTCAACAAAGAAATATTTGGTAAATATGTACATCTCAATAGATACAGATATAATAGAACTCCACACTTTAATATATTGTAGTGCATTTGTGATCAGTGAAAATTTAGGTTACAAAGTAAAAGAAGAACGCAGAAGTAGAGTTCGGAGTAGAGTTCATCCATATTACCTGGAGCCACTGCGGTCATCCACAGTGCGCTTTCAGAGATCTTTTTTGCCACGTACCATCCGGCTACGGAATGAGCTCCCCTCCACGGTGTTTCCCGAGCGCTATGACATGTCCTTCAAACGAGGCTTGTGGAGAGTATTAAGCGTTAGGCAGCGGCTTGGCTCTGCCCCTGGCATTGCTGAAGTCCGTGGGCGACGGTAACCACTCACCATCAGGTGGGCCGTATGCTCATCTGCCTACAAGGGCAATAAAAAAAAAAGCGCCAAGCCCAGAAGAAATATAAAAACAAACCTGATACCCCTGCATGGCAAATCAGACTTGAAAACAATATTAAATCATTAAGAGCAGATATAGGTAGAGTCACACGATACATTAACAATAACAGATCCAAGCAATTAGTAAAACATGTTAAAAAAATCTTCAAAACAACAACATTCACTCATCACACGAGAAAGATAACATTAGGCCAGAAGAATACTTAGACACACTTAAACATAAATTAGCGCTTAGAGCACAAAGGTTAGCTAGATAAAAAAAAGCACTGGAGCGCAAATGTGACAACAAACTATTTTTAAATAACCAAAAAGGATTTTATAGGTCCTTACGTTTTTTTTTTTTATTGCTTAGATGGGTGGACGAGCTCACAGCCCACCTGGTGTCATGTGGTTACTGGAGCCCATAGACATCCATAACGTAAATGCGCCACCCACCTTGAGATATAAGTTCTAAGTCTCAAGTATAGTTACAACGGCTGCCCCATCCTTCAAACCGAAACGCATTATTGCTTCACGGCAGAAATAGGCAGGGCGGTGGTACCTACCCGCGCGGACTCACAAGAGGTCCTACCACCAGTAATTACGCAAATTATAATTTTGCGGGTTTCATTTTTATTACACGATGTTATTCCTTCACCGTGGAAATCAATCGTGAACATTTGTTGAGTACGTATTTCATTAGAAAAATTGGTACCGGGATTCGAACACCGGTGCATCGCTCAACACGAATGGATCCGATGTCTTATCTGTTAGGCCACGACGACTTACGTAAAGAGACAACCAACAAAAACTAAAAAAATCTACCTAATCCAGACGACCTTAAAAACTACTGGACTGATCTCTGAAAAAAACAAAAAGATCATAACAATAGAGCAGACTGAATTAAGGAGGAAGAAAACCGGTGGAGCCATTTAGAGGAAATACATATCTCCTAGATTGATAACAAAAAGGCTATTGATAGCGTATCGCACTCTTGGGTCATTCGAATTTTACAGATCTATAAAATTAACCCAACAATCACGATCATTTACACGATCTTGAACAGGACCATATTGATTTAGACGCCTTAAATATATGACTGAAAGTCGGATCTCTGTTCCCTGAAACAAAAGGGTTCATGATCGTAATTCAGGATCAGGTTATTAACACCAAAAACGACAGAAAATATACGATATATTAATACGTGAAGCAAAAACTTTGTACCCCTTTTTACGAAAATTGTACGGACGGAGGAGTATGAAATTTCCCACACTTATAGAGAATACAGAGGAGAAATACAGAATGCTAATATATTTTTTTAATTGTGCATTAATAATCCATTAAATCAATAAAAAAAATTACACACACTACCATGTATTTGACACACACACATACACACACACACACATATATACTCTTTATTTACTGTAAAACTTTTGTTATTGCTTAAAGTCTGTGGTTAAATTGAGAATAGGTTAATATTGTTTATCTTTAATATTATTTATCTATAGTGTGTAGTCTTGGCAAAATATGTGATTAGGGAAGTATAATAGTCTTTGACAATAGAATCATTATAATGTTCGAATTACGACTAATGCGGGACCACTAGTATATTTAAAGACCCTAGTGTACAAAATGACAACTGTGGAAAATGCCACCGTCAACCCGAAACCATACAACACATCACAAGTGCCTGCCCCACTTTAGACTGATTACACCCATCGACATAATCAAATATCACACATCATACATCAGAAACTAGCCATAAAAAAAGCTCATACCCGATAAAACTACACCCTACTACCAATATAGTCCGAAACCTGTACTGGAGAGCAGTAGACTCAAATTATATTACGACAGAGCCATATTAACAGACAAAACCATCCATAACAATAGACCGGACATCACATTGATTGATAAATAGGATAAAATAGTATTTATAATTGACATAGCAGTATCCAATACACACAGCCTCCCTAGAACCATCACAGAAAAAATAAATAAATATACAGAATTAAAGGAAGAAATTTTGAGAATCTGGAAAATTAACAAAGTCTACATTATGCCACTGGTGCTATCCAGTACAGGCGTAAAACCTAAACACCTACCCTAATCTTTAAAAATATTAGACATAGCAGAGAACACGTACATGACCATGCAAAAAGCCGCACTATTAAACACATGCCTTATAGTCCGTAAATTCTTGCAGGAAGACTTAAATATTCTGCAAGTAGAAAATGAAGCTCACTTGGCATAGGCCCGTGATCTTCATTATACTGAAATGTCTTGAATATTTCGAGAAAAACAATACAAAAAAATAATTGTAATAATAATAACAAATGATACACGGTTTGATAGCGAAAAGTTTCGATCAACACCTTAAGAAACTTCCGTTATCCAGCTGGCCTGATACAGAAGGCAGTAAATCCCTATTTAGCATCGTGAGCTACTATTAGAAATTAACATAAATTCGTTGGTCTCATTTTTCTAAGTTCGCTGGTCAATGCCCTCCAATCAAACATGAATTGCGCAACAATTTGTTATTGTGACATGATCTCGAACTCAAAGGACAAAGCTGTACATGTCATATTAGAAAAATGTTATATTGACTTACAATATAATAGATAACAAACATATATCATTTACGATTGGGAATAAAAAGGTTTAATAAAAATAATAGCTCAATAAATTTTTTGGGTATGTTTCTTAATTTCATAATGATAAGACGCAATGTTCCAAATACTATAAAATAAGTCGTATTCATTTCGATTCTATCAGTTTGATCATTGCAAGCAAACAAAAGTATGTAAGTACAATTTATGGAGTAAACATATTATTAATAATATAATAATCAGTATGCTAATTCTAGCTGTCAGACGTAATTTTTTTAAACGTTCGAATAGTAATTTTTTTACTGTTTATTTTTCGTTTTTTACTTATCACTATTCTGTTCTCCGATCAAAAATTAATTGTTGATAAATAGCCGTCGTACTGTGAAAATTGAGACCTAACAACTCATACCTCAAGGTAAGTTAGGTGGCGGCATTTACGTTGTAAATGTCTATGGGCTCCGGTAGCCAATTAACATCAAGTGGGCCGTGAGCCGCGGGGAACGACCACCTATGCAATAAAAAGAATTGAAATGGGCACGGAGGAGCCAGATGTTTTAATATATTTTTTCTTTTTTCAGCTAAAAATGAAATTCCTCGTTGCTTTCGTTGCTATCGTAGCTGTGGCTGCCGCTAGCCCCATCAAGCCCGCTGAGACTAATGCTGAGCTGCAAGCCATTCTGGATGCTATCCACAGCCCCAGCACAGACCCAGCCACCGCTGCTCTCCTTCTCGAGCATCTGCACGAAATCCTCGTCGCTCTCAACCCCATCCAGGAGCCTGTCTTCGGACCCGAAATCATCGACTTCCCTCTTCCCGACGGTGGTGCTGTCACTGAGCCAATCGTGCCCTCCCCTGTTATCGTTGGACCAGTCGCACCAGGCCAGCCCGCTCCTCTCGTTCAGATCATTGTGAACGTGAACCAGCCAGGCGCTGATGCAGCTATCATTCCCCAGCCCGTCATTGTTGACGAGTCTGATGAAGTCAAACCCGACCCCGTTATTATCGCCGAAGAGGCTGAAGAAGNCGACGGTGGTGCTGTCACTGAGCCAATCGTGCCCTCCCCTGTTATCGTTGGACCAGTCGCACCAGGCCAGCCCGCTCCTCTCGTTCAGATCATTGTGAACGTGAACCAGCCAGGCGCTGATGCAGCTATCATTCCCCAGCCCGTCATTGTTGACGAGTCTGATGAAGTCAAACCCGACCCCGTTATTATCGCCGAAGAGGCTGAAGAAGGCCCCATTGTCCCTGAGCCCGTAATCGTTGCTCCCATCAACCCCATCCCAGTCGCCCCCGTCATCATTGGAACCCCCATCATACCCTCTCCTGCCGTCACCCTCCCTGAGGAGCTCAACTAAGTAACTGTGATACAACTTGCTCAAATGCAATGTCAATAATAATAGGCATTGCATTACCTCAATTGTACGAATAAAATTGACACAAAAATATATTGATACATTTGATTGTTTTATTTTTGCAATTTAATATTTCATTTCCCGAGTTATCTGTTATTTTTCACATGATTACCGTCTAAAATGTTGATGCTAGGACGATTTTTGAGAGTGGAGAGGTAGATACAATCTCTCATCTCTACGGGACTGGAGATTTTTAAGGCCATGCCTTAGAAAATGTCAAGTATTTTCTGAGATTTACGAATCACGTGGATCCCTATCTTAAACCTGTTTAATGCTTATGAACTGCTTTTCGCATCTTCTTTAAATACACCGTCATGTTTCCATAGTTCGGCTGCGTACACGCCCCAACAATTATGTACTTAAAACTTGCGTGATTTGTATAGGTAATTAAAAAAAACTTACCGGTTTCAGACCAGAGATGGTCTATTACCTACCTATTTCGTATTGGAGTGTTTCGGAATAATTTCTGACTTTTTTTTAAATAACAACGGTTGGAGTTAAGTTTACACAGAGCTTTCTTAGATCATAAATGCTTAAATGAATATTTTTTTATTTTTATTGCCCTTGTAGGCAGACGAGCATACGGCCCACCTGATGGTGAGTGGTTACCGTCGCCCATGGACTTCAGCAATGCCAGGGGCAGAGCCAAGCCGCTGCCTACCGAATAAACAATTAAAAGGCCCTCATAATAAAATAGCCAAATGTAAATTCTAATAGTATTTGTTACTGTTGGACGTCTTGTAGGTCCGCACTCGTAGGTACCACCGCCCTGCCTATTTCTTCCGTGAAGCAGTAATGCGTTTCGGTTTGAAGGGTGATGGCATTAGCGTGGTTGATGTCTATGCGCTCTGGTGACCACTTAACACCAGGTGGGCCGGGAGCTCGTTCATCTATCTAAGCAATAAAAAAATAAATAAAAAAATAAACAGTAGTTTATGCCTTTGAATTCTAAATACCTAAAATTGATTTCAATTCGTGGTCTATTTTACCTGTTTATTAACAAAATGTAGAAATAATTTTCCATTCATTAATTTTTGTTTTATTTTATACATAAACTATTATCAGGACTAAAAATTATCTTAGATAACTATTTTTTAGATATTAATTATCATTGTTGCACGTTAATCCTCCTTAGCGGATAATTTATGTATTTACGAACGTGTTAATGTATTATTTGCAAGATAACTTATAATATTGTAGCAAGTAATCACGTGTGTTCATTTTCTAATTTATGATTTTTCGCATTAGGAATTTATAATCCATGGCAAATCGCTATCCCATATAAGTTTTGTAGTCGTCGTGGCCTAAAGGATAAGACGTCCGGTGCATTCGTATCGAGCGATGCACCGGTGTTCGAATCTCGCTGGCGGGTATCAATTTTTCTAATGAAATACGTACTCAACAAATGTTCACGATTGACTTCCACGGTGAAGGAATAACATCGTGCAATAAAAAATCAAACCCGCAAAATTATATAATAATTTGCGTAATTACTGGTGGTAGGACCTCTCGTGAGTCCGCACGGGTAGGTACCACCGCCCCGCCTATTTCTGCCGTGAAGCATGTGTGGCGCATTTACGTTGTAGATGTCTATGGGCTCCAGTAACCACTTAACACCAGGTGGGCCGTGAGCTCGTCCACACATCTAAGCAATAAAAAAAAGGTGTAATTTATATACGTTATATAGTTATAATACCTAATCGTTTATTTATTTATACTTTTTGGGGAATCTTTTTTGTACTTATGGAGGTAATGTTGAATATATTATGTTTTCTTTTTGTGTAAACTTAATTTTCTAAATTTCTCTTTTTTTTCTTTTTTTCACTTTCTACTTAAATGTGATTTTGATGGTGGAAACATGTTTGGTTATTGTTTTAGCTATTTTTTTAAATATTATATGTTTATTTTGTACTATTGGTTTCCTAAATACATAATTATGATTTTGATTCTACCTAATCGTATTAGACATCTAAGCATAAATATGTAAGAAGAGATCGCGTCACACTAAAGCGATTCATATAGTTTATAGGCATTGCAATACTGCTGCTTTGCAACAAAAAATTCTGATAGAAATTATTTTTTATTGCCCAGACATTTAATTTGTGTTTGGATAAAATCTCTGATTGGCATAATTTTTTATAATGCTTTGATCATAAGTATTTATTGATGTTTTCTATGTACATATTTATTTATTTGTGTATGTAAAATAATAATATTATAAATATTTCATTGTTAATTTATTTACTTATTTATTTTTGGGTACATTGTCATCAACAGAATATTGATATAATTTTTATTTTTTTCAAACCATATACCGACTATTAAAACTATCACTTACAATAAGTGTTTAAAGTGTATCCAGTTCTTATTTCTTTTTTATTTATAATAAAAGCGATTTTAGATAATTTCGGTGTTTTTGTGTATGTTTTTTTTTCTTTTTTTATCCATCGATGCGTGGACAATCTCACAGCCCTCCTGGTGTTAAGTGGTTACCGGAGCCCATAGAAATCTATAACGTAAATGCCACCACCCACCTTGAGATATGAGTTCTAAGGTCTTAGTATCAAGGCTGTCCCACCCTTCAAACCGAAACGCATTACTGCTTCAGGGCAAAAAAATCCGGGCTGTGGTACCTACCTGTGCAAACTCACAAGAGGTCCTATCACCAGTAATAACGCAAATTATAATTTTGCGGGTTTGATTTTTAATTGGGCTGAGCTCGTCCACCCATCTAAATAAGTAATAAAAAAAAAATAGTAACATAGATTATAAGTAATACTTACTAACTTAAATATTATGGTTTATTTACTGAAGTAAAGATACATAATAATAATAATAACGAATAATAGACGGTACACGGTTTGATAGCGAAATGTTTCGATCAACACCTAAGAAACTTTCGTTATCCAGCTGGCCTGATACAGAAGGCAGTTATCCTCGACACTGTGCGTATTGTGAGGAGGTTTCTCACTCTGGAGTCCTATCCGCTGGCGGCTTGTGTTGTAGACACCGCCAATCTATTTTTATATAGTGTTTCTATTTTCTTTTTTAAGCTATTCCATAGCTTTTATTGCCGGGCTTTGAGCGCGGCGACCGAAGCAAGAAATTCCGTAACGAAAATAAAACCTAATATCCCCCACTCCGCCTACCATGTAGCTCGCGTTCAACACATTTTATTTTTATTTTTTTTATTGCCCTTGTAGGCAGATGAGCATACGGCCCACCTGATGGTGAGTGGTTACCGTCGCCCATGGACTTCAGCAAAGCCAGGGGCAGAGCCAAGCCGCTACCTACCGCTTAATACTCTCCACAAGCCTCGTTTGAAGAAGGATATGTCATAGCGCTCGGGAAACAATCACACGTTGCGCATTTGAAGAGTTTGTGAATAAGCGCGCGTCGTGATGTCGCACTGCATGCGCATCATGAAAAGTCTGCCCATCTCTCTGTCGCGCGGTCTAGCTTATTAGTGTGAAAGGGACAGTTAATGTTTTGCTTTTGTTATTGTTTATAAAAATAGCGTGGTCTTATTTTATTATTGTTTTAATATTAAATTATTATTGTCTATAAATAAATATAAATTATAATTCTATAAGTTGATAAAAAAGGCTATGCAATAGCTTTACCGCGGTAGTCCCCGAATGCCACACGTGTTTTTTTTAATACCATTTAAAAAAAAATTGTATTATATTGATAAGATTTTAAATAAATATAATAATAAATAGCTTTTGCCCGCGACTTCGTCCGTGTGGAATAGTTCACAAATAATTAAACAAATTTGGTTGGTATAAAAAACGTTATAGTTTGGTGCTCCGCTTGTATCGGTCTTAGTGTGATGTTATACAATCTATAGCCTTTCTCAATAAATAGGCTTTCTAACACTGAAATAATGTTTCAAATTGGACCAGTAGTTCCTGAGATTAGCGCGTTCAAACAAACAGACTCTTCAGTTTTATAATATTAGTATAGATAAAAATTTATAGTAAAATGATTGAGATTTGTTGTGCGCACATAACTTATGTTGCAAGCCAGATTTTGTTTCTTTTTATTTGTGTTTTTTATGTATCTTTAGCTTGTGATGTGTATTGTGAGCCTAATAAAAAAAAAAAAAAATAGATAAATTGGTTCCAGGAATTTTTTTGAGTGTATGTGGCCTTGTGAAAAAACAGCGTTAATGGCAGCACAAGGGCATACACCATGCTTTAAATCTTGCACATGGATGACATCTATGATGGCATTCACGTTTATGCGTTAACAGTTCAAGAGAAGCGTGATGAACCGGCCATCTGAGTTTCTCTTGGAGTGTGATGCAGGAGTGGCACTCAATACTTGTGTCTGAAGTGGAGAGTTTCCTGGGGCGGGTCTACTAATGGGTTAATTTAATTTAGTTCAATTCAACCTATTGGAGACTGGCTTGCTTGTTTATTGCTAAGAAGGCTGCTTTGGTTATACCAGCACAAATCCAAAGACTATCTCTGCAAACCTCCGAGATTATTATGTTGCTTGATATAAATCGATATTTTGAGCAGTGTCACAGTAATTTTTCCAAATTCGTAGCTGTAGACCAGTGATGGGCAAAGTACGGCCCTCGGGCCAACTCCGGCCCGCGGTAGTAGTTAAGTCCGTCCATCCGCCGAGAGTCCATCCATCCTAAGCATTCTAGTCAGCATTTTGGCGCGTAAAATAAAATCTGACGTTTATAATTAAAAAAAATTCGATTTTTTAATGAAAGCTTCAATTCTTCAGGGGTGTTTTGAGCTTTCATTAACTCATAATTAACTTGCCATCATTATAATTATCTCGGCAGTCTGTCACAGGTATTAGTTTATTTATTGGAAAAAAACCATTCTTTTCACCTATCTATCACACGCCTCACGTCTCACACGCTTAAAAAGGCGTAATAGTAAAAGGTATTTTGTTTATTAAAAAGCTTTAATACAAAATGCATTTGT